AATTAATTGTTATAGGATACTCTGTATAGAGTATACGCATTAATACATGGCAGCGTATATATAAATATTTTCTTATATAAATATAATAATAATAATAATTATTATTATTAGGCGTTAGGAACTCGAAAGCTCATTGCCGCAAATACCAAATCCCGCCACTGTTCCCGTCCCTGAGCCAGATCCCTCCATTTGTGACCCTCGTACCCCATTTCGTTAAGGTCCATTCTAATATTATCTTCCCATCTACGTCTTGGTCTACCCAATGGTCTTTTCCCATCCGGTTTACCAATTAGTACTTTATATGCAATTCGATTCTCATCCATACGCGCCGCGTGACCTGCCCATCTTAATCGACGCGATTTTATGACATTAATAATATCCGGACTATTATATAATTGATGTAATTCTGCGTTGTGTAATTTTCTCCATTCGCCCGTTTCCTCATCGCGTTTTGCCCCGATGATTTTTCGAAGTACTTTATTTTCGAAAGCCCTAAATCTTTTCTCGTCTTGTAATGTAAGTGACCACGCTTCGCTGCCATAAAGGACTACCGGTAAAATAATCGTTCTGTAAATTCTAATTTTTAAGCGCCTAGACAATATCCGCGAACCGAGTAGTTTCTTAACCGAATAGAAGCACGCATTCCCCAAATTAATTCTTCTCTTGAGCTCTTCTCTTATTTCATTAGTTTGGTTTAAAATCGATCCTAAATACTTAAAATTGCTAACCCGTTCAAAAATTTTATCACAGACGACCAGGTTTCCGTTATTATGAATATTCTGAATTCTATCAGTGACCATATATTTAGTTTTTTCAACGTTTATTTGCAGCCCCAGTTCTTTCGTTTTATCTAATAGAATTTTAGCGTTATTTATTAGTGTTTCTTTATTATCTCCCAACAAAGCAATATCGTCCGCATATGTTAATATTTGTGTTGTACCGTTCAACTGCAAACCATCATTACTCTTCTGCATTTCTTTAATAGCATATTCCAATACTAGATTAAACAGAAGAGGTGACAATGCATCCCCCTGCTTTAATCCGCTATGAATATTAAAAGTTTCCGACATTTGATTACCTATTCTTACTCTACCTCTGGTATCTTTTAAACAAACTTGGACTAAGTTAGCCAATTTTTTGGGTATCCCCCACCGAGTTAAAATTTCATACATTTTCTCCCGTTTTATCGAATCATACGCTTTTTTAAAATCAATGTAAAGTTGATGTACCGATTGGTCGAATTCCCATTTTTTCTCCAAGATTTGCCGAATAGTAAAGATTTGGTCCGCAGTCGATCTATTTCTCCTAAAGCCGCATTGATGATCTCCAATTATCTCATCTGCATATGGTACAAGCCTCATTAATAAAATATTCGACAGAATTTTATAGCATGTAGGTAAAAGTGAGATACCCCGGTAATTATTACAACTCATTTTGTCCCCCTTTTTGAAAATCGGGATTATAATTGAATCTTTCCATTGTTCCGGCAATGCTTCTTTATTCCATATTAAGATAATTAATTTCTGAATTTCTTCTATCAATCTACTTCCCCCCCATTTAATCAGTTCCGCCGGAATCAAGTCATTACCCGGTGCTTTGTGATTTTTTAATTTTTTAATCGCGCTTTCTACTTCTGAAATTGTCGGTTCGTTAATCCTAGGTTCAGCCGTGTGATACTCAAAATTCTCTATTTCCCGGTCGTTTTCAGATTCGACATTCAATAACCGATCAAAATAATTTTTCCATGTGTTTAAAACTGCCGTTGTATCCGTAACTAAATTATCGTTCTCATCTTTCACCATTTCCGTCCTAGCTTGGAATCCCTTTCTAAAATTATTTATCCCCATGTACGTGCCTCGTACGTTACTGCTTTTACAATTTTCATCTATTTCTTCAATTTTACGTTTTAAGTATTGACGCTTCTTAATTTTAAACATATTATGAGCCTCTTGCCTAATCTTAAGAAACTGATCCCGAGTTTCCTTCGTATTTTGAGCCAACCACGTGATGCGCGCTTCGTTTCGTACTTTAACAATTTTTACGCATTCTTCGTCAAACCACGGCTTGTTTTTGTTCCTTTTACAAAAACCAACCGTGGCCTCCGCCGATTTTACTATCGCGTCTCGTACGTTTTCCCAGTGTTTATCAACCGTGTTATCATCCGATTCATCTATTTCCTTTGAAGCCGCGAGTCTATTCGTTACTTCGACCGCGTATTTTATTCCGTTTTCTCCCTCGATCAAACCTTGTACATTTAGACGTTTAGTTCCAAACAACTGCCCGTTAGTTTTGTTTAGCGAAAGACGTTCCCTGATTTTGGCAATTACAAAGAGGTGATCCGAGTCGCAATCCGCCCCCCTATAAGACCTGACATCGAGTACGTTCGTGTGACGCCGTTTATCTGCAAGAACGTGATCAATTTGGTTACGCGTGCCTCCATCCGGGGAAATCCAAGTTTGTTTATGGATATTTTTGTGTTTAAAATACGTGCTTTTGACGATAAGATTTTTGCCGGTCGCAAAGTTAATTACCCTCACTCCGTTATCGTTACTTTCCTCGTGCAAACTTTCGAGCCCGATCGTTGGTCTAAAAATGTCCTCTTTACCGATTTTCGCGTTAAAATCTCCCACGACTATTTTCATGTAATCGTTCGGTAATTGATCCACGAGGTGTTCGAGTTCTTCGTAGAACCCGTCTTTAATTTCGTCATCTTTATCTTCCGTCGGCGCGTGTACGTTGATTATCGCGATCTTGTACCATCGGCCCTGCACAACGAGCAATCCTAATCTTTCGTTTATAAATTTAATGTCTTTTACCGCGGATAAGATTTTCCTATTAATCATAAAACCGATGCCAAGACTATGGATCTCCGACCCTCCATAGTGAAGCGTGTACGAACCCGCATTAAGCGAACCCTCCCCGGCCCATCTTGTTTCTTGCAACGCGACAACTTCTACCCCGTACTTTTCGACCTCCCCGACCATCGATTGAAACGCCCCAGGTCTGTAAAGACTTCGGACGTTCCACGTACCCACTTTGAAGTCTCTCCCGCGTTTTGACTTTATACGACATGAGTTCCCCGAGGTAGTCCCCACCCGGAGATCCGAACGGGGGACTAGTTTACCTCCGGAAAATTTTACCCCAGAAGAATCCATGGCGAGTTTTGGTTGTTTCAAGATAAAGTCGTTTCACGGTGTGAGCCTATCAAACCCACGCCCAACCCCCAAACAGGAGGACCATTCCAATCGGCTGTCCGCGACTGCTTATTCAATTTATTCGCAGCTAGTCTCAACCGAGATAGCGAGGCTTTTCCTCTATCCGCAACCCGAGGACGCGCTGTGTCGTGGTGATTGGAACCCACCCACCCCGGGGATCACTACTGCAACTAGTTTTCCTTCCCCGAGACTAGCGGTTGTTATGCTAATACAGTATATAAATATAATTATAACGATTAAATAATAAAGAGCATACAGCCACGACTAAGGATGTAAATAAGTTATATATTATTATTTAAACATAATTCATAACAATAGGTAGACGTTTCGATCAAGATTTGACCCTCTTCAGTACAATAATACGTTAAATATTAAACTAATAACCTAATGTGACAAATAACAGTAATGATAGATAGTACAAATTTTGAATTTCTTTATTATACGGATTATTGTTCGCAATCGATCTAAGTGATTCAAGATAAATTTGAAACGTTAAAATTAAATCAAATACAACATTCGCCAATAAAATTATAACGATAGCCTGTACGCATTTTTTTATTTCATTATTCTACGGAATTGTTCGCAATCGCTGTAATTAGTTTGCAATAATAGTCATCAAATTACATGGATAGAAAAATTCTTTCAGTTGCCAAGGTTTTTATTACTTCTTATTTTCAACATAAGTAATATTTCAATTAAATGCAGACGAGCCACACGCAAAGAGATACACAAGTACCGAGTTCTATTGTAAAACAAAAATTAATTAATGAGTGAGTTCATTATTATCATATAAAAAGTCATTAATTTAAAAAATATGTTAAAGTTTAAATTTACAAACGAAAGCTAATTTAAAGACCTTTTCCTAAAGCTTTAGAATGAATTTGATAAACTCACGTGTATCCTGTGGCGCGGGGACTCCTCCGACAACCGAACACTGATATTTTTTTTTTTTAATTAATTTCGACTTCCACAATGCCCAAAGCCCGAAAGTGTTGGTCTAATTATAGTAGGAACGAAGGAGAAAGAAGGGGGAAGGTAAGAAGAAGGAAAAGGAAGTGGAAGAATTTTAGAGTGGGGCTAAAATTCTTTTTCAAGGAGAGGGAGGTAAAGATCCGGAAACTTATCAGTATCACTCTGTTTATTTAATCCATTTTTTTGTGTTTTTATGTAAATCATTTCAGATACCAATCTTTTATAGTGAGAGCGTTCAGAATCTAAAATTTTTGTATTAACCCAGTCTATCGCGTGATCCGTTTCAATTCTATGATTCGAGATGACAGAGAGGAAATTGACAGATTTTTTAATATCATTTATGTATTCTTTTAATCGCGTCTTTAATTTTCTTTTTGTCTGTCCAACATACGAGTAATTACAGTCCTTGCAATTGATTTGGTATACGACGTTCGAAAGTTCGTATTTTTTTATTTTGTCTTTTCCAGTTTTAATGAACCTGTTTAAGTTGTTCATCGGTTTGTATACCAAATCAAATTGTCAAAATCAATTGAAATTTTTTAAGAGCTATGTTAAATTTCTCAGACGTTTTATTTAAATACGGGATAATGAAATATTTTTTCTGTTCAGAAGAGTTCACGTTAGAATTAATATTATGTTCATTTATGGTATTAAAATCCTTTTTTTTGGAAAGCGTTTTTATTCTATTTTTTATCGTTTTAAATAAAAATTGTAGAGGATAATCGTTGCGGAGGAGGGTGTTGATTAAGGAATCGATGTTAGTGTGATGGAATTTTGGATGGGATAGGAATAGAATCTTGTCAAACAACCCAATCACCATACCTTTTTTGTGTATGGTAGGGTGATTTGAGAAAAAATTGAGGTATCTCTCCGAGTAGGCTTCGTGTACAAGTCGAAAATAATACTGCCCTTGTCATACAAAAGTTTTACATCCAAAAAACTGATGCCAAATTCATCGCCATAATCAACAGTAAATTTTATGCGTTCCTGGTAAGCATTGAAGGAATCCAAGATGTTAGTAATCTGATTAGTAGGAGCTGCCAGCAAGATATCATCCACATATCGATAATACAAAGGTATGTGCGTGATGAGTATGTCAAAAATATTATGTTCCAAGTCTTGAATTACCAAGTCTGCTAAAATTGGTGATAGAGGTGATCCCATGGGCAAACCGAAAATTTGTTCGTAAAATTCTTCATTGAACTTAAAAAAGGTGGAATTTAAGATGATGGAAATGGCTCTTTTAAATTCTTGAAAGAGGATAGAAGTATTCTTCTCAATCAAGTTCCATCTGCTCAAAACACTCCTTAAAGCTAATTCGTTCGGGATGTTGGAGTACATCGACGAGATGTCAAGCGAAACTATTCGGTAATCATCAAAGGTAGACCATTTATTTTTTTGACTAACTCGTAACTGTTTTTTATGTATCCGAAGTTTTCTTTATTGTTCAAACTTTTTTTAATAATTTCTTTCAAGAAACTTGCTAAATTGTAAAAAGGACTATTAATACAGCTTACAATAATTCTAAACGGAATGTCCTTCTTATATATTTTAGGAAGCCCATAGAATCTAGGTAAATCACTATCAGAAATATACAATTTTTTATATATACATTGATCAACGAATCCCATCGTTTTTCAACCTGTTAACAGCGTTCGTATTTCTGTAGTCAGTTTTTTAGGAGGGTCTTTGTCTATCAATCTATAAGTGTCATTATCAGAGAGTATGTCAAGCATTTTTTCTAAGTAGTTTTGAGAGGTCATGATTACTATAGTGTTGCCTTTGTCCACTTTAGTAATTAAAAGACTTGAATTATTTTTCAAAAACACCTTGAGTTCCTTCAGTCCTTGTTTTATTATCGAATCGATTAGTCTATTCGGCAAGCTATAATTTATCCTATTAAGGACCGGTATTATGTCCTTCCTAATTAAGTTTTTTGTTCGTTCGTCTAATTTGAAAATGTTATTTTCAATATGTTTTATGAATTCACCAGTAATTTTTTCTTTATTTGTAACAATGTTAGGCAAATTGAAGCGTTGTCCTAGCTGTAGGATATATTTTACTTTGTCCGGAATTTTTAAGTCAGTCAGATTAATTAGCCAGTCATTATTCGATTTATCGAATTTGTAATTCAAAAGAAAGTAAGTAGTAATTGCAAACTAATTACACCGAATTATGCGAACAATTCCGTAGAATAATGAAATAAAAAAATGCGTACAGGCTATCGTTATATAATCGGCGAATGTTGTATTTGATTTAATTTTAACGTTTCAAATTTATCTTGAATCACTTAGATCGATTGCGAACAATAATCCGTATAATAAAGAAATTCAAAATTTGTACTATCTATTATTACTGTTATTTGTCAAATTAGGTTAATATTTAACGTATTATTGTACTGAAGAGGGTCAAATCTTGACCGAAACGTCTATCTATTGTTATAAATTATGTTTAAATAATAATATATAACTTATTTACATCCTTAGTCGTGACTGTATGCTCTTTATTATTTAACCTTTGTAAATTTCTTAGCCACTTTCTAATAATTTAAAATTTAACTTACACGAGCATTATGATGTGTTTGAATTTTCCATTTTTCGAATTAATTAGAATTACGAGGGTGGTCCCAGAAGTACCCGACCTAACAAAGAAAACACAAAAAATTTGGGAAAAAATATCTTTATTTCTCAACATAGTCTCCTTTTAGCTCGATACACTTTTCCCAGCGATGTTCAATAGCTTCGATGGCCTGTTTATAGTAAGAACCGTTGAACTCCTCAAAATAGCCATTAACCGCAGACTCCACCTCTTCATTGTTGGTAAATCTTCTACCACCGAGCCATTTTTTCAAGTTTGGAAAGAGAAAATAATCCGAGGGGGCTAAATCTGGCGAATAGGGTGCGTGGGGAAGCAATTCGAACTTTAACTCAACATCCTCTCGACGCTGCTTTTGTTCGATTGTGAGCAAGCGCGGCACCCACCTTGCGCATAGCTTTCTCATCTCCAAATTTTCAGCCAATATGTGATGTATAGCACTTTTTGAAATGTTTACCATGTCTGCTAGCTCGCGCACTTTCAATCGACGGTCACCCAATACCATTTTGTGGATTTTCTTCACCATTTCTGGAATGGCCACCTCACTTGGTCGACCACTGCGATGTTCGTCTTCGCAGCTCATACGGCCTCGTTTAAACTCTGCCACCCAATATTTTACTGTTGTAAACGAAGGAGCAGACTCCTCCAAAGTAGAATCCAGCTCGGCTTTGATATTGGTTGGGCTAAGACCTTTCAAATGAAAGTATTGTATCACATAACGATGACCAATTTTTTCCATCTTTGCAAATTCACCGAGATCGTCCACTATTGATAGCTGCCAAACAAATACTGAACAACGTAGCGTCTTCAAACTTCATAGTTAAGCTTTAGAAAGTTGGTGCTTTCCCCTACAGTGATTTTTTTTTATACAACAACCGCCATCTGTACGTCAAATCGGGTACTTCTGGGACCACCCTCGTAATTACGGATTTAAAGCTTGTTTCTTTCTTAAATAATGCATAAAAACTTATGAACAGGAATTTAAAATTAAGAATCAGAATTTTATTTCTAAAAACTTGCTTTAGGGAGCATTTGGTTCCCTGCCATCTAATCAAATTGTTAAAATACAAAATCAACATACACGATCGCAGTGCTAAGTACAGCATAGAAAAACTAAAACAAAATTTTATTCATAAATTATTACGTGTAGAATTAAAAGACTTATAAATATGTAGCTCACTTACAGTACGAATTATTTAGGAATTACAGAAATATTAATTCGATTTTTCCGCATGACATTTGTGATTCTTTCTTCCGTCACCAAGAATTCATATTTGCGAGAAATTGGTACCAAGAAAATGTTAGAATTAATAAGAAAATTGAAGTGTTAATACGGGCTGTAAATCGCTACAATTATAAATACATTAATAACATCACATACAGACTCACCATAACAGAACCAAAAAATAATGATACGAATTTTATACCCTCAAAAATCAGAAAAATTTCCATTAATGATAATAACACAAAAAATTTTAGTACTGTACATTAATGTCAGGCCGGATAACTTTCTTTTGAATTACAAATTCGATAAATCGAATAATAACTGGCTAATTAATCTGACTGACTTAAAAATTCTGGACAAAGTAAAATATATCCTACAGCTAGGACAACGCTTCAATTTGCCTAACATTGTTACAAATAAAGAAAAAATTACTGGTGAATTCATAAAACATATTGAAAATAACATTTTCAAATTAGACGAACGAACAAAAAACTTAATTAGGAAGGATAATACCGGTCCTTAATAAGATAAATAGCTTGCCGAATAGCCTAATTGATTCGATGGATACATTAGTTTTAATACTTTACATATGTTTGCTAAACTTTGCTGATGAGACATGATACTTTTTTGACTGTTCAATCGTACGAATAATGTCGAGTTCTACATCGAGACTCAACCGAACTGCGTGTATTCTTAATCTGTAAACTTTTGCGACAATTATTTTTTAATTCTGTTTCCATTATGTTAACATCTGAAGAGGGCTCAATCCGATAGCCGAAACTTGTAATGTTATATGTTTACCTTTCACCGTTATTATTTCTTAGTATACATCTTTTCTTCTTTTTTTATCTTTTCTATACTTTTAATTTATCTGTCTTTAATTATATGTTTTTTTAAAGGAATGCGCTGACTCTTACTTCGCCCTTTATTTGTTGTTATTTATCTTATATATATTCCTCTTTAGATATCTCTCGAGCTCCTAACGAAAAGATATCTATAGATATCATGGGACTACTTGAGTTGACAAATAGTGGAAATCGTTATATTTTGGTTGTACAAGATTGTCTTACACGATATATATTAGCAGAACCTATTATAGATAAATCAACCGCATCAATTATTAGAGCACTCTGGTATTCTTGACTTAGATAGTTTGGCAAACCTAAAGAATTCCTATCGGATAACGCTCTGAAATTCACTTCGAATGAATTTAAAACACTTTGCGATCAATTACATGCCAAACATATGCTCACGTCAGTTTACCATTTACAATCAAATGGGAAAAACGAAAGGTCACATATTATTCTTATAGAATATATAAGACATTATATGAAAGAATAAGAGCAATGGGACATGATACTGCCCCAGGCAATGCTGACATATAATTATACGGTAAATAAGAACACAGGATACACATTCTACGAGTTACAATTTAGCAGGGAACCTAATCACATCTTCAGTGAAGAAGATGATAGATTATCCCTCCAAAAGCAAATAGACGATCTATAATACATATGATAAGCATAATAATAAATTAAAAAAGACACGTAGAAACATACGTAATTATCGAGATTCCAACCTCCTTACTAAATCGTATACTCCAATAGAAAATAATGATCTGGTACTCGTGTAGAACTTCAATACTAAATTATTTGAATCTTAGTGGAAGAGTCCGTTTCCTGTGATTCAACATGACAAGTTAATAACTTATTATGTTCGCGAAAACATAGAGATTAAACAGTATCACAGAAGTAACATTAAGCTTTTTATTACAGGTGTGAACAAGAACTCGAAACGAGTTATTTCACTCCTTCTCTATTTACTCTCCAGAGTCACTCTAGTAAAGGGATAGAAAAATATACCATTACGTAAGTCGATGACAACGAAGTCATATACCTTGAACAAAATTAAACTGTACCATAAACAATGGAAGATAGTAATAGGTTATGATTTAACGAATTTAGAGAAAAATTATGATACACTTAGTATTGCGTATACGAATTATATCAGAGATATTTTCCTAAGTTGCTTAATAAAAAAATTGGACTTGTTCATCTAAACCACCTTGCTTGGCGATTAAAGTGATTCAACGAAATAATCGGGATTTAGACAATATATTTGGCGGGATTTCGAAGAAAGACGAAAATTAAACGCAAATTATTCGATTTTGTAGGAGTAAAACATTGTTTGGAACTTTAGCTGATACGGATGCGAGTTATTACAGTAACGAATTAAATAAATTGTATGTCGATTGTGGCGAGCTAGAATTAAATACGGCTAAAAGACTCGGGCAATATCAGTTATTAAAACGTATCCAGATTATAAAGTAGGAATAAAAGATAATTGTCTTACAGAAATAATTACAAAACATGATATCGAAAAATGCATGACTAAATATATGCAGATATAAAATACGCTCTGGATACAACTTCATACGAATCAAGACTGAATTGGAATTGCGCCGCGAGAAGAACTTATACGTAGGTTGCTGGAAAAGTTTCTGCAATCTAGTACTTCCAGT